CTTAATTAAAATCAGAATTCATATGAGACATGAAGCTGATTCCAAACAGCACTGATTATGCTTTAGTGCTTAGGGGGAGATTTTTAAAAAATTATTTATTTAATAACCACATAATTAGAAGAAGCATTTCATTACAACAGCATTGACATATTCAATAACAATTTCCAGAGCTCAGATGCATCTCTTTCAAAATTGGCTTTAAATTTTTAGGTTTACAGTTGAATTAATACAGTTATACAATATTGTACTCAGTATAAACCCTCTAAGACATAAAATTAAATGAGGTTTTAAGCTTTAAAAAGATCTCTGTTTCATTATTAAAATACACACTTTCATACAGAAAAATTTGTTTTTAATGCAATTAACACTAAGATGTTTGCACATGCGTTTCTACTCTCTATATATCAGATTATTGCTAGTCACAGTCTGTTGGGCCCTCTGACAGGTATGGCACAGTGGGAGAGGCAAAGACCAGCCTGGGTCCCTCTCTTGGGGGCTGAGTGGGTTGGTGAGTGTTGGCAACTCAAGAACCACATTGAGTCGGGAGTCTTGTCGAGGCAGGAACTCACTTTATTGCAACAGGCATCAACTTATATAATTTAAGCAAAAGGGGTATGGAAAGGGGGGTGGGTATAGGAATGCGTCATCTGGAGTGATGACTGTGGGCCACTGGGAATTTACCATGCCAGCTGTCGAACTCAATATATATATACCCTGTAAGATATAAAATTGAATGAGTTTTTACGCTTTAAAGAAGATCTCTATTTCATTTTAAAATATGCTGTTCCTTGCAGAAAGACTCATTGTTTTTGCTGTTATGTTAGCACATGTGTCTTTAATCACTATATATCTGATGATTACTGGTCACAGTCTGTTACATTCAGATCCTTAGTACCTAAGTATGGATATAAAGTCATCAGGTAGATTTCACTTGTAATGTTTATCACCTCTACTATTTATCATGAAGAAAATTTAGAAAAAAATTTTAATAACTACATGATTAGAAGAAGCATTTCATTACAGCTTTAACATATTCAGTAACACACTCCAGAGCAAGAGTACAACTCTCTTAGAAGTGGCTGTAAGTTTCTAGGTTCACAGTGGAATTAATACAGTTATACAATATTGAACTCAGTATAAGCCCTGTAAGGCATAAAATTGAATGAGTTTTAAACCTTTAGTAAAAGATCTCCATTTCCTTTTAAAATATACTGTGTCTTACAGAAAGAATCATTGTTTTTACTAATAACACTGAGATGTTGGCACATGCATCTCTAATCTGTATGTATCTGATTATTACTAGTCATAATC